TGGCTGAAAAACTTATGTTGATTAAGTTTTTTTCAGTATCTGATAATTCATATAGCTCTTCATCAATGTCTATATCAGAAAGGTTGAAGATGGTTTCCAAGTCATTTTCATTTATAACTGATACGGATGTTACATGGTTTACCTTAATTTTTTTAGGTCATTTGTTTGTGTAGTATTCTTCTTGTTTACAGATCCAACATTTATTAACTCTTTCTTTTTTAGTATTATTATTCTTTTTCTATAAAAGTTCTTTTATTAGGATTAAAGTGCTTTTTATGTGTTTTCTTATAGTATTTCTTCTTTTTAGTTTTTGTAGAGCAATTGCACTTGTTATGAGAGGAGGAGCAGCCCCATTGCTGAGCAAGTAAATCAATTTTTTTTGCACCATAACAATTTTTTTATACTGTTTGTTTTGCTTGTATAAATCAAGATGCTAACATAACTTAACTAATTTTTCTAGAGCATATTGTGTATGGGTTCCTATGGTTATATCATTTGGGTGTACTTTTGTAAATTCTTGACTGCAAAAAATATTGTATGGTTCTGTAATTTATAAAAATACATATCTAGATATGATTTTTTGTCATCTTATAGGATGTCGTAAAAGAACTTTTGATAATCATAACTATATTCGTTTAAGTAACAAATACTGGAAATGCTTAGGGCTGTTATTTTTCATTTAGCAAGGTCTGATTGATATTTTTGTTTTTGTGCTTTGGCAGTATATCTAATTTTGTATCCTAAAAATAATTTGTCGTAATAAGATTTGTGATTGGATTAGTAGAATTTGTAAAAGGTTATAAGTGCAATTATGGGTTTGTTAATATATTGATTTTCTTAAATGTGCCACATATTGAATATATGAAATATTCAAATGAAATCAAATAAAATATTGATTGAATCATTTTCTGGAAGTTTAAAAAAAAATTCAAGTAAAATTGTCTGAAATTTGTTAAAATTGTTGAAAATTTACATAATTAGAAAAATACTCTTAAGAGTCAAATTAAACATATAAGAGATCCTAGGTTGGAAAATCTTAATAAGAACACCTTAAAATTCATTAATAGCCAAATTTCATTGAAACTGACCTAAGGGAAAAGTTAGATTGGTTAAATTTGTAATTCCCAAATTACAAATTTACCCCCTTGTTGGAAAATCTTAATGAAAACACCTTAAAATTCATTAATGGCCAAATTTCATTGAAACTGGCCTAAGGGAAAAGTTAGATTGGCTAAATTTGTAATTCCCAAATTACAAATTTACCCCCTCCTAACTTTTGGCCCATTAAAATAAAACTTTAAGATAATAAAATTACTAAAATTTGAACTTTAGAGACTTGGTAATTAACAAATTAAAAACTTAATAACATACTTAATTGGAATGGTAAATAGAGGTAAATATGTAATTTCCCAAAAATTACATAAATGTCCCTCTTTACCTTTACATCCTAAAATTAAACAAATAAACATTAAAAATTGATTAATCTGATTCTAAAAATTGGTTAATCCATTAATCAACAGCATCATAACAAAATTGAATAGTTTAAAATGATTTAAGGTATAATTGTAGCTTTCTTTAAAATTATAATTATACCCTTATTACTTTGAAATCTTCGAAATGAGCTTTTTCATAACTTAAAACCACTATGACTAAAATTGAAACTCATAAATAAAATTCAAATAGTATGCTAATTTGAAAATTGTTGAGTTTAAAGGTAGTTTTGGGGTAGATTTCTAAATTAACCAAATATGTTAAAACATCCCTATTATCTTTCAACTTATCATATGAAAAAGATAAAAGTGAGAAAAGCCAACCTATGGAATCAAATATTTAATTATCTAAAAGGAAACCCATAAAAATTACTTTTAACTTGAATGGAAGTGGTTTGGATCAAATTGAGGTATTTACAAATATAACCCCTTTAAGTAAAAATAAAATAACTTCCTCTAGAGAAGTCAAAATTGAATGAGGTTATCACTCATAAGCCAACTGAACTAAAGGAAATTCACATATAAAAAATTAATTTCAATTTACTATTTTCTAAAATAATTTTTCATTAATGTATTTAATAATTCATGAAAAATTTAAAATGAACTTAGAATAGCTTGACCAATTTTGACATTAGTTAGAATCATATTATAAACATGTCTAAATGATTTCAAGGATTTTAGAGAGCATTTGGATTTATTATGAATATATGAATAAAATAAACCAAAATTAAAGTAATTCTAATAAATTAAATTAAATTAAAAAATTCAAAAAATGTTTAACAAAAAATTATTTAATTTAGTATTAAACTCAAAAAATTAATTCAAGTCATTTGAAGTCTTTTTAACTAAATTATTCAAAACCCTAGACGTCATAAGGCACTCACCTATATACATCATAGGATTAAACATGCTTGTATTTGCTATGTTTTGCTTATTAGAAATGTTCGATTATGGCAAATTATTTTTGCTGGACTGAATGTTTAGGACAAGTAAATAATAATTTTTATTCATTCCTATAAATGCTAGCTAGTTTATGTTACACTAGTTTTCTTGCATTTTTTATGTTGTCATAGATGAACTTGGATGTACTAACTTATTTGTATAGAGCTATTGTAGTAACCTAGGGCTTATTTGAGCTAGGTTACTATAGTTTCATAGTCTTTTCTTTCTTGTTGGGTCCTTTCTTCTATAGAGTTTGGGTGTTTATCATATTTATTAACTATCATCACCCAAATGATCCACATGAAGATGAACAAAATGCAAAGAATGAACCCCAACTAAACAACAAAGATCTTCAGATGTCATTTTTTGACTGGCGAGTCTGACGTAGGTCTAAGATTGGAACACTTAGTTGTGTCTTTGATGTGTTATTTTTGTAGTATTCATACTTTAGTGCATAACACATTCTAAAATGACAAAAAAATGACACTTAAAAAAAATAAAGCAGTAAGTTTAATACGATTTAGGAATAACCACGAAAAGATCTTCATAGGCATGTGTATTACATATAACTTCTATTCCGTATTTTTGGGCCCTCATTCATTTCATAAAAAGGATTGGTTTGATCTATGAGAACCATTGCCTTATAGAGTGAGTTCTGCCTCTGCATATTGATTGGCCTTTAGAATAAATTTTATGTGGATTCATTATCAAGAACATGCATTCTTATTTCATAGCTTGTTATTGATCAATTGACACTAAATGCTAATCAAATAATAAAAAATATAGTTGGGTGTGATGAATTTTAAAATATTTAATTTTAAGTTACAAAAATAAACTCGAATTAGTCCTAGGCCATTGTGCATACTTTTCATACTTAGGCATCTTGATCGTTATAATTAAGTTGCAAGACATATTATTCTTAATAAACAATAACATGTCATATCCTGCATTTATTAAAACTGGACCTCATGGTTTTAAGATGCATATAAATGGTTTAGATCACAGCCCTCTATAGGCAGGGTTGTAAGTCTATTTTTTGTGTTTGCTTGTGTGTTTTATTTTCTGTAGACTAGGTTTTGATGTTTTTCTTTATTTAGTGAATATTGCATTTAGTCTTAAGATTTTGAGATCATTCGTCTAGTATGACATAGATCCTCACTTTCCTAGTTTTTTTTACAATCTTATATCATGAGATACAAGTCTTAAATTTCTAAATAAATTGTCAAGATCATAATATCAAATTAATTTCTCTTTCAAAATATGTAAAGCCAAACTATAGGTTAGTTGAGATGTCACTAAGATTTTCTCAGTATCTTCAAGGTTTTCGATCTTTTCTTTCTCTGGGTTCCAAAATAACTATTTCATTTTGTACATTTTTCATTTGATTTCTTACAATCAATCATGAAAATTAAACTTTAATTTCTTTGAAGACATGACTCTAATCTTAATCGAGAGTTTTTCTAAATGATTTCATTAGCTTAAGATGTAATTAATTATAGAAGCTTGCATCTATAGAAAATTAGCAACCCAAATAATCTAAACTCTATCTAATCTTCGGATCAAATAGGAGAAATATTGATTGGTATACTCACAGACCAAGCAAATGTCCTAAATATCTCAGTTTAAATAGTTGAACCCATTATTAAGTGATATTAATAAAGTGAAGTTACTTGTAATATCATGTTTGATTATTTAAACAATCAAATATTGAGATCTGTTCGATCTTATTTTCAAAATGTAAATACAAACAAAAATAAAGCAAATATTAATTCCTATTCAAAGTTAATCTTAGACCCTTTGAAAGTTTCAAATCAAATCCTTTAACAAAGTTTAAAGTCATAAAAGTATTTTTCAATATATCATTTCAATTACATCTTTATTTTTATAGAACAACTTCAATTGCAACGTAAGTTCATTATTGCATGCTTCTTACAAGTCTTAACTCTTATGTTTTTACAAGTGTGTGGAAATAATTTGTAGACCAAAGAGGACTTATAAATTCATTATAATGAAAAAAAATATGGAACTATGACACAAGAATGAAAGAAGAACGGTGAAAAATAATCTTGATAAGATATTGCACATGCCAACAACTTCTCTGTGATGCGTACACAATTAATAAAAGTAATGACATCCATGTAATTCCAAGACATCTAAAGTAGACTTGATTTCTAAGAGATTTATCTCTTATTATGCATTATGCCTCTTTAAAAAGACAAGACAATCAATGACCTATTTAAAACACATAATTTTCCATATTAGATCAATCAAGTTGCCATAAGACATGATTTGAACTTAAATAAATTGCTAACCATAAACCAATTCGAAATTTACCAAATCTAATAAAAGCTAAAAAAATTTATATTGAAGTCACTCAAATGATCATCTTCTAAATGCAAACCTTCTCAAACTTTATATGTAAAAGTAATTGCATTATTATTCAATTCCTTCTCAGCCACTTTGTAACGCTGTACGCTGTTGTGGCCGGCGCAGCCATCATGCCATGCGCTTAACATTTAACGTGCCGTTTACGCCTCCCTTTCTCTGCATCCTCTCTCACATATCTAGATGGAGAAATATAACATAACATCTGCTTCCTCTACTTTCTGTGCTCATCACAATTATTCTCATTCTGAAGCGATCCAGATGAATAACCTGCATACTCTAGAGAAGAAGGAGGTGTTTGAAATGGACGGTGGAGATGATGATGATGTTAAAGGGAGTAGTATTGGAGTTAGTGGGGGGAAGAAGAAGAAGGGAGAGAAGAAGGTTAGAAGGCCACGGTTCGCTTTCCAGACGAGGAGTCAAGTTGACATACTTGATGATGGCTATCGTTGGAGGAAGTATGGCCAGAAAGCTGTCAAGAACAATAACTTTCCTAGGTATATTATTCTACTTTATTCACCATTTTTTTCTAATTTTTTAGGAACAATATACATTTTTGTATCAGTGATCAACATGGTTTAGCAATCACTGCATGAATTTAAATTGAAGAATTATATTCATGAAAGGCCAATAATGCATATTAATGGTTTAATTATTGAGTGGACGCATATAACATGTGACAGGTTATCAGTATATATCCTTACGTGAATTTGAACATAATGATTCATGAAATCCTTCATCAGAACACATTTGAACCTTGTTCTTTCTAATTTTTTTTTTGCCCTAAACACTTCATTTTATGTTTTTTTTTGGCTTTAGAAAAGTGAAATTAGAAATCCCAATGCAACCCTTCATTAGTAATCCCATAACTTATGGTCCGTTTGGGACAGCTTATTTGGTGTGGAGGTGTTTTAAAAACTCACCTGATCTAGTTGGGTAAATTGCATTTTGGCAACTTATGCGTTTTGAAAATAGTGACCACAGCTTAGGTGCGGTGATAGCTTTCTGACATCGATCTGACTTTTCCAAAAAAATAAAAATTTCTAATAGTCATCAAACCTAATTTATCAGCAAATTATCCAATAAGCTGCAAATATCCAAACAGACCCTTAGACAGAAAACCAAAGCGCGCTTTTTTATGATTTTCTGCTTGCTTAACCCTCTTCTGTTTACATTTAATGAACCTGGCTTTATGATGGTAGAACTAGACTTTGAAAATATCAGAACTTTATATATATTCAAACTAATATGACCAGTTAGTTCCCTATAAATAAGTTGCGTGCATGACTTCCCTTCTTCAAAGAAAGTAACTGCTCATGCAAATTATCCCATCCCCAATGGTACAATATTCGGTGCTCAAGAGGCAAAACAATAAATAAATAAATAAATAGAATATGTTCCTACATGAATTCTAGGACCATGTATTTCTCTAAAATGAGAATCTTTGACTGTTAAAAGATAGTTTTTTAATAAGCTTTTCATTGAATTTAATGAAATATCTTCCTAAGGCTTAGCACATATGGTTTGGCGTAGGAGACATGTGACCAAGAAGGTTAGCTGGTAGTAAATATTTAGACTTTCTAGAAGATCATTTTCCTGTTGCTAGTCAAAGTGTAACTTCGACGCATGCACAAGCTATTGCCATGTAATCATTATTGCCGTGGAAAGCTAGGAGAAGCCAATCACATCCTGAAAGCTTTATTAATTTGTGTTGCTGAATTTGGCATGCATCTTATCAGTTTGGTATTTATGCTATTGCTATATATATAAACAAGAAATATTGTATGTGCTAATTCTATTAATTATGAGTATATTATCCACACAATTATCACTTCCAATTGATTTTTCTTTTTTTCTTTTTTTTTATATGAGAGTAGGTCTCAATACATGTTACATACATAACCACAATCTTTGGGTGTTTAAATATATAACACCTGAAGCTTGATATTACTTAGGACCTATTTGGGGCAGCTTATAAGTGCGGCGGCGTTTTTGAAAACGTTGCCTAACCATTTGGTTTGCGCTTTTTTGAAAAAGCTGTCTGTTGCGTTTGAGTTTTTTACACAGAGCGCAGACCACGAGTCAACCCTTGGGCCGACCTGCGGGCCACGTTTCAGGATAAGCTGACAATACTTCTTAAATAACAATAAAAAGAAAGAAAGAATACATAGCACCCAATTCTTGTATATGCATATACTTATCTTACACCCAAACTTTATTTTTTACATGGTAAGCACTTTTACCTATGTATGAAAAGATGAAAATAGTATAATTCACCTTTTTCATACATAAGAAATTAGGGTTTTTATCATGTAATAATTAAAGTTTAGGCTTGAGATAAGGAAATGCATTATAATTGGCTGCTATACATGTAAATTTTCCAAAAAAGTAATTCATATCATTATTCTTTCACATAAATCTTATGTAAGTTATAGTGAAAAAAAAAGGAAATTATGTTAGCCCAACCATTATCTTTCCTTGCATTGCACTCTATTGAAAGCAAACCTAAAGTCAATGATGTTAAAATTATAATATTTATAAATGTAAGGAATAGGGAGTGTAAGATAATATAGAAGGGATAAGAAAAAATGTAGCGGTCTACACACTAATTTATAAGGGTTTTTTGGGTGGAGATTAGGTCAAGGTTTAAGCCATCTTAGGCTCGTGAGCATCACCAAACTAAATAGACCGAAGTTATGTCATAATGTTTACTTATTAGAGGGGGCATAAATGTAGCTTATTAAGAATTAAAATTTATATTAAGTTTTTAGATATTATTTGAGGTGATTAATTTGTAGTTATTTATTTTTATTCATTTTTTTAATTCTCTTGTAACAGAAGCTATTATCGGTGCACGCATCAAGGGTGCAGTGTCAAGAAACAAGTTCAGAGGCTATCCAAAGATGATGAGGTTGTGGTCACAACATATGAAGGGGTTCATACTCATCCTATAGAGAGAAACAATGATAACTTTGAACAAATTTTGAATCAAATGCAGATCTACACTAGATTTTACTAGACTGGCATTCCAATGCCCCAATATCTACAAAATTGGAGTCCACTCTTTAAGCCAACTCCTTTTTTTGTCATAATAATTCCTATATTTCTTTGTTTGTAAAGGCAGGACTCCTGAATCTTGTACTACTAGCACTTTTCATTATGAGTGAAGCATTTGTAACTGTTGATTATAGATGATAAATATCATAGATTGGTAAATTTACAAATGGTGAATCTTCCTTTTCCTAGTGTGCATTTTTGTATTTGAAAATCGAGATGAGAAAAAAAGAAAAAAAAATTAACAGTCCATTACTCGAATAAATTTAGGGGCAATTATATATATATATAAGAACTCTTATTTATTTACATATCTCATAACTACACTTTCATATTCACACACATCACTCGAATTTTTATTATCACATTAAAAATAGTATTATTATCACTTTTTAAAAGCCAAATACATGTTTTCATGCATAGGTTTAAAGCTTGAAAATGCTGTGTATATAAATATGGAAGTTTAGGTTTGAAATATGTAAGTAAATAAGAACAATGTGCTACATATGTAAATTTCCCATAAATGAAAGATATGTTCGAAAAAAATAGGCTTAATATTATATCAACAAATCACGCTAGTGTGGATGAGATGGTGATTCGGTGGTTGGTCATTTCCTCTCATACCGAAAGGTCTCATGCTTGAAACTCACCGACCCAAAATAATTTTAAGGAAAAAAAAAACAAATCAAGCTAGTAAAATGAGAATCTTTTTACATTTCATTAGATTTTTAAAATTTGATGTATATTTCATTAATATATAGTGGGTTACAATACTTTTTTAAGTAAAAAATCCTTAATTAAAATAAAGAGAAAAAATATGAAATATAGTTGAAAGTTGTCACTCAAATAAATAAATTAAAAGGGATTTTTTTTCGCAATTAGAGAATATTAAACATCAATACAAAGACTGAAAAAGATTTATTTGATCATAGGATAATTTTTCTTAACGAAGATAAAAATTATGAAAGGGTAATCGAAAGAGAAGTTTCATAAGTTCCTCCCAAAAAAAAAAATCAAAGTGAATTTTATTTGAAAAAGAGGGGAAATTTAATCCCGAAAGTAAAAACTAAATATAAATCAAATAAAGCAAAATTGTTATAAATAGAAAAAAAAATCAAAACAAAGACACTAATTGTAACTAATTATTCATTCATATAGCTCACTACTCTCATTAATTTTCTTATTGTTTCTTCCATGGTAATTTCAAACAACTTTGAAGTAGTTTAATAAAACAAATCATAATAAAAACATCTTTTAATAAGATATTGTTAGATATAAAATGCAATAAGATTGAGGGTAAGGTGTATCAATCTTTTGATGTAACACCTTCAATCTAAAATTGTCCTCAATTTGAGTAATATTGTTTGGATTGTTTAATTAGAATCATTTCCCCCACTAGAGAAATTTTTTATTCTTGAATCCTATAAAGAGTTGAATTTATTACAATTAGATCAAAATTATCCTCTCCAGTTTGAATAAACAATGGATCGAGTATCTTCTAAGGAAGAAGTGTGTTGAATTTGCATTATTTATCAATATGTTAGCAATCAATCATGAGAGTAGATTATATGATAAAGAAAAAAGGAGAACTAGCATCACATTAACTACTAGGATTATTATAAAGGCATGGAATTAGAAATAATTGTATATAAGATACAAAGAATATTGAGGATGCCAATACTCTAAATTTAACTACTTTAAAAAAAGGATAAATCATGCTAAAAAAGCTAGCTAGTAGTGTGAACAAAACTTAAGGTGTTTCATTTCCATTACCATGTCTTGCTTATAAATTTGTGCTTATAAACCAATCTAAATAATAATTAAAAATTATTGATTAGCATTAACCCTAGCTAGTAATGTAACAATAAATGGTTTATTAAATACAAATGTAAGGTCGTCAAGCAAAAGAGCTTTACTAAATAGAGAGGTGAAGAAAATATAACTTTTTTTATTGAAAATATGAATTTTGGAGTGGGTGTAGGCAATGATAACCAAACAAGTGAAATAAAGTATTCATTAACTAAGTCAAAAGCTTGTGTTTACTTATTCTCTTGAACAAAACCAATTTTTTCTAGTATTTAATGCAACAACATAGCTATATAATCTTTGATCCTATCAAACTTTAGAATAATATTTGTTATGTTTAGCAATGAAATTGAAAGCTAACTACACAAATAATAGGTCAACAAAAATGTATGATAATTTAAAATGTGTGCCTACCATCCAAAAATTTGCCAACCAACTAGAGAATTTATTTAAAAGTTCATTATTAGTGAAATTTAATGGAAGAAATCGTTCTTGAGAGGTATACAAAAAGTGGTAAACATCAGTTTGAAAAGATAGGGCAATTAAGGTTGTCTAAACAAAAATCTTTAACCAGTTGCAATGGCATATGACTTAACAATATGAAAGATTATCAAACCTAAGAAAAAAAACAAATGACTTCATCATAAGCCCAAATCCTAGATCAAGCTTCAATCAACTAAAAATGAGAATAAAACCCTAAAATGACAAAGGAAGAGGTTAGCAAAGAAGGATTTTGTATTAATAGATGTTAGAGTCCCAAGAAAATAAGATACTCTAATTAAGGCCAAGGAGTGACCAAGTAGTAGTTAGTAAAAGTTTGTTCTAAATAACTTATTATGTATGCCTTATTAAATGGATTAATTAAGAATTTTAAATAACTTTTATAAAAAAAATTATGGTGTTAAATGGTTAGCCACCACACTCAATGATAGCATAGTTCTCATCTCACAGAAAATAATGATTATGGTGGCCTGAGGATATATGGTCACATAGCATTGTAACTAGGGGTGTAAACGAGCCGAACTCGTTTATATTTCAAGCTCAAAAAATGTGTTCGTGTTCGGCTCGTTTGCTTAGCCAGTTGAATGTGAGCCGTTCACGAACAAAGAGTCATTTTGACAGCCCTAATCACGTAG